GAAATAATTCTGTTTTTAAATTGTTTTGTTTTATAACTACATTCATATTAAAAAAAATATGGATGTAATAATAATGAATGAATGATAATATTTATTGAAACAGTACAATTACAAAATTAAAAAAAAACTCAATAAAATAATATAAATCTTTCTGCCCAAGGATGTAATAATAAAATGTTAAGTTATGTTATTTTAAATTCAGATAAAGTTGAAAATAAAAACAAGTTAAACCATTTATTTTCTGTTATTTTTGTATACAATTCCAAATATGTCAATTTAAATTGGGGCGTCGTCTGTCTATGCATAAATCGTTTGAATCCGCAAATGTCTCACTCTATCAATGTTACAGTTTTCATATGAAATATATCTGAATTTGCAAACATGATGATACCAAACACACACAAAAAAATAAAATTGGTAAAATATTCAAAACGTTTCTATTTTCATTGATAAAAAAATAAGTTGACATTTAATTGTATATTTTTATAAATTAGTAATCTATATAATAAAGTAAGTAATGGAACATTGAATATAAATGAAACAGAATTTGTAAATTTTCAGAAAGTTAATTAACAAATGACTTACTTTGTTGCAAAAGCTATTGATAAATGGAATTTTTTGAGCATCAGAATGGATAAATCTGGTGTATTGTACTGTTCGCGTTATATGAAACATTTAATTTACACGGCATGAATTTGTACAAATTTCCATTGAAATGGTGTTCGCAATTATGGCCTCGACACGACGACGGAAAAAAAAACATATTGAAATGGCATTTTTCAGTCCTGATAAAAAAAAAGAAACATAACCGCGTTGCAAATACACGTGATTTTCAGTGGAAATAGCGGGTTCGTAATGAATTTGGAAACGGTATTTTATCGTGCGGGTTAACATAAAAAAAAATTGCCACAAGCGGCAATTGAAATTTTGTTATTCGACTTTGATTGTGTTCAGAAACGTGGGAACATCTCGCACGTGTGTGTGTATTTTCGCAAAACAATGAAATAATAATTACAACAACAACAAAAAAGGGAAATTGGAACGAAACGTTGTATTTTTTTCGTGTGCAGACCAATAAATTAAATCTCTGTTCGCAGCAGTAATTCGCAATCACCCTGCGATAATTCAGGGAGCGAAAAATTGTGATTTGTTTGGAACAATGAGGCTACACAAAAGGATATTAATTGAGCTTGATTCCTCTGGGTAGGAGAAAGAAGTGTGCGAAGGGATGGCAATAATTGGCTTTAAAAATGGTGGTTCAAATTACGCGCGCTGATATTAAATATCCCACTTGGTGCTGCTGCTTTCAGTTTGAAAAGTCCTTCTTGCAGGATGCTATAATTAAAATGTGTATANNAGTGTAAACAAAAATTGCGTTCCGGATAAGCTGACCCGGATCTGCAGACCCTAATTATAAACACGAGCGAGATGAAAAGAACAGACGGGCGTTCGTTCAGCTAATGCCAATTACGTAAGAGCGTGCTATGTAATTGACGGCACCGGAAATGAATCCCGGTGTGCTTAATTTGTTGATACAATAATTTTGCAAATTCAATGGTAAATCCCTTAGCTGGGGGTCTCGGATAATACCTTTTTTTTGCTCCGCGAGATATGGAAGTGAAGGGAAAAACCGTTGGAAAGTGCGGCGTAAGCATTAAAAAGTTTTCCGGCGGCTTCCCGCCCTGCCCGCCGTTCGAAACTTTTCACTTATCTGGGAAATATTTTCTGAACAATTCGCGTTTTCCCGCTCGTAATTCATTTATCGCGCTCCATCCCGTGCCGTTTCAACTCGCAATAAAATCCGCCCCGGAGGGTGGTAGGTGAGTGGGAATTTGCGAGTGTGGATGTGCTGGATATGGCTCCGTGCTGGATACTCTCCTCGTCATATCCATCGTATTCTTAATATGAGTAATATTAAAAATACGGCTGTAATGCTGCCGTCAGCTCCACTGCATGAATATGAAGTATGATGGTGTATGGAGGAGTCCAGGACTTCCATCCACGTACATTGTACGTGCACGATGATCAGACCGGAGTTCCCGTATCGCGCATATTTAATATCGTCCCGCGAATTTTACCATTTTGTTCGGTCCCGAACCTACATGAAATATGTATAAATCGACGTCTGCACGGCTTGCCTGAAACACCCTTGTTGCTTTTAATTTTTTTCCCTCGGCTTTGGGTGCACCTTTTAGCGGATCTTCTATTTAAAAGCAAAAATCCAAAAATAACATTTCCTCTCATTGTTATTCCTTCCATCACAAATATACAAAAAATATATTTAAGCGTACGAGAATGCAAATACAAGTCATGAATTTCAACTGAACAATTTTATTAAATCTTTAATGTTGAAAATAAAAACATTTTCATCCTTATAGTTTTTGAAAAACTCTTTCGAAGATTTTCATTACAAATTATTTGACTGTTAATCATAATTATGATAATTAAATAATTGGGATTAATACCAGGTTTAATTAGTATATGCCATCAAAGCCAATATAATATACTAGGTCTTTAATTATATTATCAAATGATCTACGTGCTTTGTATAGTATTGGTGAAATATAGCAAAATATTTTTTTTGTATCTTAAATATTTTACCACGTTACAATATATTTCAACTTTGAAAGCCTATGAAATCCAGTACCGTTGCTAGTTATAATTTTTAATTCATTTTATAATATTGTCTTTTAATGTGTCATTCCATGATTCTATGAATAATGTTTTAATTATATTTTTCAAGAAATACTACAAAAAGTAAAAACTGCGTTTTCAAAGTATTGACAACTACTTAAAACAAACCTAAAAACTATAATTCATGATATTATATGCATTTTCAATTTAGTGGTATATATCAGGGATGGCTAAAATCAAGTCGATCGCAAAATCGATACTAAATAATTATGTTATTTTTACATAATTTGATATATTAATATAGAATGTATTGCACATCTCCCCTATTCATCATAGGTATCATACAATATTACTGAATATAAGGATAATCTTTAAATAGTATTTTTCAATTTTCAGATGATTATTCATCAGACAAATGTATAAACCTTGGTATAAAATAAATTTGATTAAAAGTCAATGAAATATTTTAATTAAATATTGCTAACATTAACAATGTGGATAAGAGTGTTATACAATGTAGCTAGAATATTCTTTTGAAGAAAAACTGTAATAAAATTGTGTTCAAATGGGAGCATAGATTTATAGATTCAACAAATCGCTGGATTTAATATTCGAATATTTGGATTAAAATCCGTGGAAAGCAATTTTTTGTTCTTTATGTGACAGCGTGTGGATTTCCAGTTCGTTGACCCGCCAGAAATAATGAAAGCGTTTCGGGAGAGGTTTTTCCAATCCAAATAAAAGTAATTCAGCGAACTCTGCAAGGAGAATGAAAGTAAAAAAAAATATATAAAAATAAAGTAGAATAAGATAGGGTGGTAATAAAACGGAAGTCGCCTTAATGTTGAGGACGGCGGTATTAAAGCAGCCCATTTGGACGGCCATGGGATGCGCATTTTGCCAAAGTCCTCCTAAATCTAGCTAACAGACCACCAAAGGGTTGCGCTAATATCTTAATGTAGTTTAGGGTCATTGAAAACTAATCCGTTTGAATAATTTCCAGGGTGAGTATTTTCTCCACGACGTTGCATGTATCTCCGTATTTTGATATGGTTATTATTCCGCGTAGTCTTGCAAGGATATTTGCTTAATCCTGTCAGCGTATTGTCTGGCACGTCTGCAGAACATCCTTTTTAAAAAATATACAACTATAAGGATGCGAATGAGGATGTGGATTTTTATTATTTTGCTTTTTCGAAATGTGAATAGCAGATGCAAGTGATATTTAAATTTTCGCCGCAGCGAACGCGTTTTCGTCGCATTCGCCACAGGATTCCCCCCAAAATAACTAATTAATTAATCCGCATTGCGAAACCAAACCCGGAGGGGTTGGATTCCGTCGTAGGAAGTTATCTCTCTGGAGATGCTTTAAGCACAGTTCGTCGGCAATTCCTCATTTATTCATGCGATTTAATATACGTGGAGTGTATTTATATTTACTTTAATAATACTCTGCAGAACATACATAAACACGAGCTTCAGTTGGAGATCAAAGCCAAACTGGATACGATAACAATTTTATATTTTTCTCTCTCATCATAATAACACTGCCAATAAAGTTTTATTATACTTATAAATATAATCTAATTGAACATCAGCTATTATATTAGTAAAGTAAAATCGAAGATTGAAATCATTTCTTCTCGTAATTTAAAACTATAAAATTAGTAAAAATCTACTGAATAAAAAATAATAAAACTTAGGAATTTATTGAAAAAATACCTTATATGTTTATGAGAACATCAATTTCTCTTTACCTTACTGATATAGAATAAAACCAATTAGGATATACATTTTTATAAGATATTTTTTTAATATATTTGGGACTTAAGGTATGAAATATGTGTGCTCTCTCGAAATATCAGGTAATATCATACACGATATTTGTAGTAACAGTCTCTAAGGATATTGTATTGGAGTTCCTTTACTGTCTATAAATCAAAAAATATACCATGAAATTCAATTTTTTCGCAATAAAAGTCCACATCAATGTAACAAGTGTGACGCATTGTGCGCGCGCGAAGTAGCGAGGAATGTAATAAATAAATTTGCAGAAGGATTTTTCAAAAGAGCATAAATCCATCGCGTCAGAAAGGCACGCAACGATAAATAATTTGCGATTTGCGGTGAAAACGCGCGCAAAATATGTTTGCTTTCACAGCTTCAATCAAAATTTCAGTAAATGAGAACGGAAATAATGACAAAAGCATAAGTTATTAACTACACTTGAAAAGTCTGTTTTTCCCAAATACCGGGAATTGCAATTGAAATTTGAGCAAATAATGCGGGACGACACTGTAGAATTTTCATTTACACTAAACAGTCTTAAAGCGAATGTTTCTCCTTTATCCGAGAATTCATTTGGGGCTTACGTTTAATTTAAGCTTCTTATAAGAATGCAGTCTAGCGTGTGGAGAACTAAGATGAGAAGTAAAAAGCTGCATCGACGAGATCAAAGATTATTTACTTGCTTTTCGAGGCTTGGAGGAAGGAGGGAATCCTTTTTTTGGCGTCTTTGTTTTTTTTTTGCATCGGAAAATACCAAAATTTTTGTAGTGTCTACTTACTGTTCCTGGGGACGTAAACGTTGAGGTAGAGGCAATCCTCACTCTGGTTTGCTAGTAGAGGTAACAGTTTTTCGAGGTACAAAAGACGACCTCGAGGATATTCGAATAAGGCTTCTGTTCTGTTGCCGATATCCGGAGGCCTCTGAGGACACACTGCACTAAATCTGTCCGCTAATCGCGTATTTTTCCACATCGATGGTGTCACAGGGGGCATATATCTAAAAAAAGATGCAAAACAAAAATACATCACATTTAGTTTACATCATAAATTAATCTTAAATGTATACATAGTTAACATGAACATTTATGTTGAAATTATATTCAAAGTGGTTAATAAGCATGCAATTTAATTTGTAATCCCTCTACGTAGTAAATCAATTATTGAAACTTAAACCTTTTACCCTAATGCATTAATCAATACATCAATAAATCTGAATGATAAATTCTACAGTAATAATACAATTATTATTACATATAAATAAATATATTCATTGTATCATAAAATGGTAATAACTTCACATAATATCGAATTTACAAGAACATAACTAGACTAAACAGAAAAAGTTTGATTTTGTAATAAAATTATACCAAAATGTTATTAGATTAACTTCAGGAAGATCATTACATAAAAATTCATCTCAATTAAGTAAATAAGCTAAGGAAAACAATTTATGTCATAACATCAGGTTATAATCTTAAGGTGCTCCATTGTACATCTTAAACAAGAGGATTCATAAGGATCTCCAACAATCAGTGAATCACAATCTTCTAAATTTTAATTACTACTAGCGATACCATGAGTAATTGCCCATAAATTTAAAAAAATCACTTAAAGTGTCACTTTAAATATTGATTTCCAGAAACATTTAAACATAAATTTCTGTAAAGTAGACTATGATGTTTCAATATAATTACGTCAAAGTTAGTCCTATTATGTAATAATCCCTATTTACGATGCTAATTCTTTTTAAAAAGAGCTAATTAGAGGGAGCTAAAGATGAATTGAACCAAACGGAAATAATGTCAAAGGATGCAAGGATCATAATGGAAAGCTTATTGCGGTTTTATTTAAAAATTCCCGAATGCAGGGTTTATGCTAAATGCGTTTAATGGTCCCTAAGTAATCTTTTCTCCAGCGGCAAATTAAATTTGTCCATAACTGCGCCTCCGCCGCGCGCGACGCCTTCTCTACTTTGCGCATGCAAATTTTTACGTAATTTTCGAACAACCCCGCAGCTCTCGTGCAACGCATTTTTTTTGTTCGTCATTTTCCATCCTCATTCTTAGAGCAGTTCAACGCGGCGTCACCGTACACTTGGTTTGGGGCGAAAATGTAAAATACGTGAGTGGGTATATCCCTCTGATAAAGTGGCTTTTGAAGTTTTGAATTTATATTTATATTTTGCTAGTAAAGCCAGGCAAAAAAAAAAGAACTGTGGTATGGAGCGCAAGAAAATGAAGTGTTTTACAGAGGAACGGTTTTATGTAACCGTGCGATCGCGTTGCAAATTCGCGGCATCGCTTTAAGGAATTTAAAGCACGTAGATTAGCTCGATGGCCAACTTGCTTTAAACTACGAATCCAACTTTTATGAGCGTTTTGCAGTAGAGCACGACGATCCTGCAGTTAAAGTCAAGTTGCATTTATTTCCTATTTTGCATCGCATCACGGGCCATGAACTTTATTCAATTTTAACTTATATACGACACGAGAAAATGATCATTCAATTTGATAAGTTGCCTAGTTTGGACCACCTAAATATTTGATGATTTTACTTGCTTCATTATATTATCTTCAACTTTCTCAAATTTTGATTTATAGAAATAACTTTTTATTACAACTGTCTCCAATTTACCGAAAAATTATGAAATTTATGAAAACTATTTGTTTTAATAACAAACATTGCATTAAACCGTAATTTTGAAGAATAATGTGTAGATAAATACAATATAATAACATATTTGCTACTTTACGACAACAATTACTTTAAATAAGGTCCAACTTAGACAACTGTCTAATACTTTTATAAAACGTTTTAGTTTTGAAAATAAAACATTGGTATCATGAAATTCTAAAGTTTGTGTACGAAATGTCAGTTCATTTTACGTCTGTTTTAATTATTCGTTTTTTTTTTCCTGTCCATTTCGCTGTAATCCTCCTGGGTGAAGGAGCGGAGTGAACGAATAGGGAAATGGTAGGTGGATTCTGTTTCGATTTAATTAAAACGTCGCCAACGTATCCCACGTAAACAGAATCCATTTGCCTAATCGCATCCACTATGTGTATGTGTAATTCATTTGCTAAATTTAATTTAAAGTGTGATCTGAATACGCTACATTCCCTCAGGACTCCGGTCCAATCTACCTGCAAGATCGTTTTACTGCACTCAAACGCATTCAAAATTCATTCAACAGGTTCACCTCTAATTGCTATAATGCATCATTAAACTGACTGAAAGAATATAAATAAAACTCGATAATAACAATCAATATGTTTTTCCATCATTCTTCTCAACTAAATCTACAATATCTTAAGGAATAAAAATGTTCATTAAATATTTAACCACAGTGTGCAAATATCAATAATAGTGAATCACGTTCAACGTAATCCATTCATCTGCAGCGTTTGCACAATCGAAACGCCATAAAGAAATTAATTGCTAAACATTAATTAAGAGCGCTTCCGATCTGTTTGATGGACACTATCGATCTGCAATTATTGCAACAGACGTAACACAGATACTCGCAATATTAAAATTGCATTTATGAATCGATGCGTGCAATATTGCACATGGACATTTTCAATGTTGCCACGTCCTGACGAATCAATTAATAGTAAATTGCGTGAAAATGTCTTGCACAATGGAAGCCTCGGGCTAAATCATTGTGCATCGTCGATGCTCTGACACTGACAAATTATCGAAATTTTGTTGCCGTTGTGCAATTCCTCTGTAGTATTCTTGAAAATGAATATGTTTTTTTTTTAATTTTCTATACAGTATTCACATTTGCTCAGCATAATTAATTGAATGTCATTCGTGCTCTTGACAGACACGTTTTCATGAATATTAATTGTTTAAATGATTCATGATGTTTTATCGCTTATTACGTCTTAATAATATTTATATTAATATACTTGAAGAGAAAACCTTTCAAAATGTATGTTTCAATACTCGAACATAATTTTCCCAAGAAATTATTGATTTACAAAGCACAAATTAAAACAAAACATCCATTTTTTGTTGTTTTCAAATATGAATTTTACTACACAACAATTTTTTATCTTTCCTTGAAACTATATTCCATGATTTATGAATTCAAATATAATTACCTATTCTTTATAAGTAACATACACTGGAACCTTGCTTAACGAGCAAAATGAATTGTAAAAAAATAACTCGCTTAACGAGCGACGTTTCGCATAACGAGTGACGATGAGAAGAGAAGTTTCGGATTGCGCGCCTGTTACATCATTTTTCAAACTTGTGTACACATATTATGTATATTTTTGAATATGTTTCAGTATACGGATTAAACTCGTTAAGCGAGATTCCACTATATATTATAATAAATTTGTTGTGGTATTTTCTTCTTCTTGTTTCAAATATAATACGTAGTGAGTATACAGCTTTATATAATGAGATTTAGATGATTGAGGGTCTGGAAATAAGCAGTATTTTCAAAATATTCGGTCTTGTGTTTCCTTTGAAACTTACTTTGTTTCTATCAAGTATTTTTTTACATCAGTTATAAAGCATAGTGTGTACAGAACTTTATACAATGAATATAAGATGAAAAAACATGTTGAGTTTATGGAAATAGGGAGTATTATTAGAATACAAACCTTAAACTACCAACTGGGGGAGTAGCATATGGTACACCGAGGAAGGCCTCAACGGGAGGATGGATGTGTATCATGACGCCACGCAGGGGTCCGTATTTGGTCCTGACGACGCGAGTGCTGTACTTGTGGACCAGCAAGGAGGCGCCGGTCCCATCCATCTGGACGAGCACCATCAAGATAACGGCGCTGAAGAGCGACGCGACGAAAACGACGACGGTATCGAGGTGTCGCGGCACATAGCCCGGCGCACGCATGTCGTCACCAGCGACCACGTTTCGAACATTCACGCGCCCTCATCGGTGCCCGTTACCAACCACCATCACCAATCTTCTTCCCATTACCAGCACCCATGATCACCCATTCCCATCGAACACCCAATAAATATTCTGTTACCGATTTATTAGCTCGTTCCGATCTCTGTAGACCGCCTCTCCCGTAGACCACCACCCCATATCGGCATCTCTGATTCAATTCAACCTTGCCACAATTCCATACGGCATCACCATGATTGTTTCTCCAAATCCACTTTCTTCAATCTTCCTCCTCTTCCTTCTTCCGCCCTTGCCAACCTGGAAATAATAAGGTAAAGACAATTAGGTCTCGCACATCTCTCGGGATCGTAGAATCTAATTAATTAGTTTGACATTTTGGCTGAAACGTTTTCTGTTATTCGGGGTTGGCGTTCGAGTTTATTATGCGTTTTAATTGCGTAAAGAATTAGGGCATTAGGCACGCAATGAAACGGCAACGAATTGCGCCCAAACGAACAACCCTCAGTGCGGGTGAGATAAGGAAATTTCATGGTGCGCGCAATTATCAGCGCAATTTCGCTGCAATGGCAGAAAGGACGAGACCTGCCAAATGGACCTGAAATTCTACCTGACATACGTACGCTCATGCTATACTTCTGGCATCCTTTGCTCTATTTAAATTACTTCGACCATTAACTACCAACTTAATGATCCTACATTTCACTTTATATTTTCAAATAAATTTGATTTAAAACAAGTCCCATTTACTTCACCAATGTTGCCAAATGACAAGTGTAATAACCTAATTTATAATATATAATTATCAAAAATAGCAAATTTACCATTTTCGACGTAGCTTTTCACCCATTATTTAATAATATAATCATTATTTCTAGACCTATAGAATTTTGTTATAAAATGAATCAAAAGTGAATCAAAAGAAATATTACCATTTGTTTGATTTATAATTATTAGATAAATATTTTATATAATTATTACAAGTAAATGAAATTAATTAATATGGAAACTGGTGTTTACCGCATAGAGTATTTTCAATTGCAGTTTCGCAAATTTATCAATTTCATCATATCGCTGTACCAATTTCAATGTAATACATGCTGCATAAATATTTGTTATTGATACGTCGGATAAATGGAAACGCATAAAAGGATTAAAAGTCCAATTGAATGAAATGATGATGATTCCACTAATTAATGTACTGCATATACTGGATGTATTCTAAACAACATTGAATGAAAATAGATGAATACACATATTAATTGGTAATTATACATGATTTGCTTCATTTACAAATTTCTTTTATTAATTTTTTACCGTGTCAATATTAGGAAAAAATGAACCATAATTCGGTTGCCGCGATAATTGGAAACATAGATTATGTCTAAAATATTGTTTCTATGTAATGAACATATATGTTTCCTTGTGTCACCATGATACACGTGTCATAGGTTTATGTCTCACGTCTATCTCATTTATTTATGTCTCACGTTAAGTATAATATGAATGCATCTTTTTCTGTTACAGTGAAACTCCGATATTCATCATTAATTCGTTCCTCAGGGGTGGACGAATATTAAAAAGGACGAAAATCAAACGATTTTTTTCGCAAAATTCTCTCCTTCGAGACTGAGCCGGTCAACTGACGATCAGTTGACTCGCTGGCAACGTCGGTTCTGAGAGGTGGGACAAATATTGAATTTTCGGACAAATATCAAACAAAAATGTCAACAAAAAACAGGATGAATATAAAAAAACGTGACTACATAATTTACTAACTATAGGATATTTACTTATACTAAGACAAGTAAATTAATTGTAATTGTAATTATATATTTATCTAGGTTCGAATCCTGGTCAAACCAGTCCCTTTGTAAGCCCTCTCGGTGCTTGCAACAATAGGGTCATCGTTTATTACAGATGGACAGACAAATGAATGAAGTTCAGCATACGGACCTTCAGCCAAGTCGATGGACAATGACAGTATTAAGGATACCAGAAGATTCAAAGTCAAAAGAAATAGTATAGCAAAGCATCAATTTACTACTAAAGTTAACCTACAAGACGACGGTCAACCAACAAATTTAAAATTAAATCATCATAATGATAACTATCCACCAGGAAAGAATATCCATTTAATGTCAACCGCGATCTTAAATTTACTCAATGTCAACATTGATGAACAGATTGTGAATAAAATTATACAACATTAAAAAAAATCTATGAATTGAATAAAAAATTTCTACTTTTAAGTTACTATGTTCATAAAGCGTATTCTATTGCACTGCAAAATGTATTATTAAAATAATAAATAATTCAATACGTTTCAATTGAAATACGAGATTTGATTTACTGCACGTGACTGAGGAAAATATATTAGAAGGCATATGCTATTAGCGAGCGGAGGAACGACTATGAATATGAATGGAATCGAATAACTCGAGTGGTTCACAAAATATGCAGGTTAATGCTTTTTCGTTCGCAGTTCATATATAATAATTTAGTTTTATATATTCTGCTTTCAATAATAATAATAATTTACTGGGCAAACAAAATCAAACAAAATAAATATAAATTACAAAATATAGTAGAAATTAATGCAATCTAAATATTGATTAGAAACACTTAAAAAGAGTAATTTAATTATTATTATCAAAATTTTAAATGTCACAAATTTAATGACTTTTGATAATCTTATTTTATTATTATTATATAAAGTTTTTAACCTTGCCTAATAATTAAAATGTTATACAGTGGAACCTTGCTTAACGTGTTTAATCCGTTCCAAAATTTCCGCATTTTTACTCGTATAGTGAAACATATTAAAAAATACACATAACATGTGTATACAAGTTTTAAAAATGATGTAGCAGGTGTGCAATCCGGGACTTCTCTTCTCATCGTCACTCGTTATGCGAAACGTCGCTAGTTAAGCGAGTCATTTTTCTTACACTTCATTTTGCTAGTTAAGCTAAATGTTCGTTATGTGAGGTTCCACCGTATAGTGAATATTATTTATAATTGTGACACTATATATAAATGAGGAGTACCAACTAAAATTTATACCTGACAGCGCAGCAATTGCAGCTGTCAGTTCAGTTTCAATGTCAACGGAGTTTGTGGTAGCCAATAATAAATAGTTAGTATGTCTGACAGACAATTACATCTCAAATTTCGCATAAATTTTATGCGTATCATTCAAGAAGTATCAACAGTATTAAAAAATCATACATGACATTATTTTAGTTTAAAGTAAGGGATTACCTTAAACGAAAATAGATTTATGCAAATCAGGATGTCCGAAATTCTGCGGTTAAAAAGATATAAAAGTCTGAACATCAAAAATAAAAAATTGAACGAAAGTTCTGGTCCCCCCTGTAGAACGTGGAGCTAAACTAATTAATGGTGTGTAGCGCGCACAGAATTAATGAAAGGCAAACTTGGCCGTGTGCATGAATATGGAAATTCGAGCACCTGCCCTGCGTAAAATTTACGTTTATTTATTTATTTTTATACTTTCTGCTTATGCTAGATGTGTGTGTGTGTCTGGAACGGGATGGTATGGGCGGTCACCCAAATTGTCATGCCTTGCCATACCAACCCTCTCGGACCTCGAGGTTTTGCAAATGCCCCTCTTTTGTTTATTCGCGCACCAACCCTTAACAAGTGATAAAAACGTCCCAGCAAAGTGGCCGAAATTGTTATTTAATGCTGGAATTTGCGTCGCCCTCGGCTACATTTAAATTGGGCCACAATTTATTGCCGCCCCCTTACATCTAATGATCAAAAGAATGCGAAAGCAAACAATTAGACTGTCTGTACTTTCGAATTCAACTTTGCGCGCGCGAAACAAAGTTTGCTGGCGCCTTCCTTTGTCCTCCGACTCCTTTCGCTTTCCACTTATTGTCCTGCCTGTTTGCATACATTTCTAATAAACTCACTTAGAACAACACCTTCCTAAATGCTCGCACATAACTTTCCATTTAAAACTCTGCAAAGATTCAAAGACAAACGCTCCAAAATTAATTGGCGTTCTCAGACTACAATAATTCCTAAAACTTTACACAAAATCACTTTTGAATTTCACTTTTCTTACATTATTTTCATCTTTTAATTAATAATCATATGTTTTAATCAAAGCTTCAATACATAATTTGAAAGTGTAATATCTTTTTTAATCAAGACAACAGATAACGTGTATCAAAAATCACACTTAACTTTCGATAAAAAAGTTAAAAATTCTGTATTTTCTCATGGAAAATTCTGTATTTCCTTTGGATCTTTTTAATATATTCTTTTGATCTTTCGGCTGCATGGAACATAAATAAATGTGAGTAAAACCAGTTATCTTTGACTGTGCATTGCTTCGTTATTGCGATAGCAAGTAAATATATTACATTTTTATTTTTTATATTTAAAACTCTTATTTAGTTGTAGATCATTTTAAATATACACCAGCATGCATTTCCATTTCGACTTTTTTTTTCGTTATTTAGATGATTTTTCTTTTTTGCGGGGTGAAAAATATTTTCTTCCTGGAAATATGAGTATTAGGGACTAGCCACAAATATTTGCATACTTGCCTATATAAACTTCGAAGAGCTTTTGATGGTTGTACATGAATACTTGACTTCATCAAATACGGTAGAATATAAACATCGTCTCCTCTATATTCCATTCAAAGTATATATGCTAAAACTTTATTGACATTTAATTACGTATTTATATACAAAACAATCCCAAAATTCGAAGCCACAATTACACATTTTTTGAATGTGTCACATAATTCAAATTGTTCTAATCATCAAAATTGGTTTCAAATTGTTCACACTTAAATTTTACTCATGTCCAAATTCTGTTGTTTATATTAGATCATATAGTAAAATTATCCTCTCATGGTTTAAATATATGGATCATATTTATTTGTCCATTTGTTAATTTAATTTCATGAATTTGAAAATATATATTTTTATGTGATTATAATGAAGGGAATAGAACTAAAATTATATTTTGGTAGTTAGTAGATCTAATAGATATTTATGTCATGTGTGGTGAAATGAGAAATATGCTGTGGATTAAACATTATATAATAATTTCAATAAAGTTTAATATTTAAAATTAATTATTGAGATAGTTTCTATTAACTGGATGAATTTCCATCCATATAGAATACTGCGGTATTGGATCGAAAATATTTATGCTATTTATAGTAAACGCGCAAATGGTTTGGAAATACGAATTAATTTCACTATAATTTTGGTTTTGCGGGGTTTCCGGATGTCATTTGGCGAGGCAATGGA